AAGTCACTGGACTATTTAGACGAATTTAATGACATGTATAAACACTGTTTTATGGAGTTAAGGGAACAGAAAAGGTTCGAGATTCGCTGTCGTTTCTGCACCAGAATAGAAGAGAGGTGTTGCGTAATGGAAGTTTGCCAGAAAGCAACAGAAGTCATGGGAGCACGCAGATGCTTTGGAAATGATAACTGCAGCGTTTGCTTGTTAGTTGCATAGTCCGAGAGTGAAAATTTTTACAGTTTTTATGATTTGATGAAACAGAAGTAACTTGTAATATTGCATCTGTTAATTACTCTCCAGTTGGATTCATTTAATTCATTTTATCGTTGGAACGCGACTAGTGTTCTGCTACCAACATTTTTTACTCCTCATTTTGAGGCGTGTTTCAGTGTACATTTTTGCTACAGATATATCCACCGCTTCTGTGTTCAAGTTTGAGTCGAAGTTGGTTTTCGTTTAAAACTGTAGCTTTAATTTGCTAAGGGTGATTCCTAGAATATGTTGTTTAATTGATTATGGTTTCTAAGCTTTAGTATTTCGTTATCACTGCCTATCCTTTCGTTATTTGTCGTTAGTGCTTTTAATTGAGAACTTCATGTTTTCTCTAAAATTTTTTTTTTTATTTGCTATTCTTCTATCATTAGTGATTTTGGATTTTATATGGCAACTGAGTGTTGATCTTAAAAGTTTAGCAACCGTCACTAATCATTTAGATTAATTTGATTCTTAGTGAAGATTTTTTTTGGAGGCTTACCCCTGGCTTACTAAAAATCAACCACAGTTTGCAACATAAAAACATTGATGTCTTAGAAGGGTATAAAGTGAGACTTTTTTTATTCTTATTTTTTTTACTGAGTTTTTCGGCTGCCTTCTGGAGTTGGAGGGTTTTTCTACACTGTTTTATCAGACCATCAAAGGTTTCTTTAAGGCGTCAAAGTAGGGGAATTTTTTTACGCTAAGTCTGTAAATTTAAAAAAATGGTGGCTGGTGATAGGTTTTCTGATTGTTTATCTTATTAAATTTGAGAGGGAAGGAGGAAGCATTTTCGACTCTTTAGTATTCGATTGTTGGAAACAAGTTCGTGCTTATTTAAACTATTTTGGCTTATAGCCGGTAAAGCTTATCCACCATTGTTATGAAGAAGCGCAATGAGGATTTCAAATTATTTCTTCATATGGTCTTCCTGTGGAAAGCCTTAGTTTCTGCAATCGGTGTAGATCCAACCTCCCAAAATAAGTTAGACTTAACAAAACAAAAAAATTTGTGGGAGCCTTAATTTGAGACCTTGTTTTCTTTACTGTATTTTGGTTTTTGTTTAGGTTGTCGCTACTGTTCCTACAAGAAAGGTTTTTTAGAATGAGTAAACTGATAGGTACTCTCTTCGCTTTCAAGTGAATTTCTTCATATATATATATATATATATATATATATATATA